AGATCTTCAATAAGGACGGGCTGAAGGACAGTTCCTTTTGATCCACCCCAGCGCTCTGGGAGAATGGGGCAGACAGGCCAGAAACTTTCTGTAGGTCCGTTCTGATACGTACTTCTCCAAAGCACAACGCCACACAGTGTCTGCCCAGAAGAGAAATCTCACTGCCACCAGGCCCATCCCTCCCATAGCAATCTATTCCCCACCCTCACATTCACTTTCTCATCCTTCCGAGAAATATAGCTCAAATCAGAGGTTAGTCTCATAGCAGTTATCAATATCTGTCTCACAAGATAATGGCACCCAGGCTAACAGGAAAACTTCAGCAAGAACATCCCTTCCTCCTTGGATTGTGAGGCCTCTGTAGAAGAATCTCACTCTGCAAACACCAACTTCAAAATACTCCCCTAGGGGAGAAGTGAGAATATAGGGTACTCACGGAAGATCATGGCTAAGGAGTTTGCTGGAAATCCACAGGTTATCAATTTCCTAAAATAGTGAGGGAGAAAGCTCTGTGTGCTAGCTGCTAAATAAGCAATGAGCAGCTTGACAAGCCAGGAAAGGTTCTGGATTATTAGAATTTCTCTTTCATAGGCATGTTGCCTTGAATCCCCTCTTAAATTAGAATAGTAAACTCTTCGATTTCCTGTTATCTTTTTTTTGTATCTTTGTTACGTGACCTGGACACTCTGTGTCCCATAAACATTTTTAACTGAACAACTTGCATCAATCCCAGCGTTCTCCAACAAGTTCTAAGATCATCTTGGCAAAGAAATGGCAAGGCTGGGATTTACTAGAAAAGCCACCAGAATTTCTTTTTTTAAAAAAAGGAAATTAAGAGTTTAAATTAAGCTGAATCAACCCTACATACATATCCAGAGTTTCCTAGAACTCACCACTGTTTGCTGGTGCTGCTGAAATTTAAGACTGACATTCTGGATCCAAAAAAAGCGGAAGGAGCCAATCTTTAGCTCCGCCTGCAGCTTCCGCTGACACCACTTGGTGGCCAACCGGACTACAAGCCACCTGCAGAAAAATTCCTGTTTATTCATAGGACCCTTTACCAATGATAGTTTCCCTCACCCCTTGCTGGTCTTACAAAGCCTTGCAAAAAGGTCGTGTCCTGAAACTGGATGTGAGCAACTCTCCTTTCTCCCAAAGCACCACTCTGTCATAGACGTTCAGCGACGCTGATCAAGATCCTAGCTCTCTACTGACCCCTCCACCCAGAGAAAACCAGAAACTCCACCCTCTAAGTTGGGAACAAAAAAAAAAAAAAATCTCTCAAATTGTCAGGAATCCCAGAGGCAAAGACAGAAGGCCCCAGCAGGAGTCAAAGCGGAGGCGGCTCTGTCAGATATGCCATCACGCCATCACACTCCCCAGAGGGTCTCCGTCTCCTGCTCCCACCCTCCAGATAGGTATCCGCGAAAAGGCACTGTGAGGTCAGACCCGGCAGCTACAATGCTCTTCTCCCCAGACCTATGCTGCAGGTGCCCTTCGCGCTTAGCAAAGAGGACATTCGTGGGGAAAGAGGGGGAAAGCGAGGCCACTGAACCAGGCCCCTTCCTCACACCGCTATTCAGTTCCTGGCCTCAGCATTTCCTCAGGCCCCGCCCGTTTCCTCAGTCTCCCCGACTCGCAGCCCATTCCCTGCAGCTCAGGCCGCGCGCCCCCGCACGATCCCTCCCCTCGCCGCGCGCCCCCTCCTCAACCCTACCCAGTCTGCCTCCCGCGCCTCAGTCCGGCGCGCGCCCCCTCCTCAGTCTTTCTTCCTCCTCTCTGTCCCCTCCCTCCCGCCTCCACCGCCGCGGCCGGAAGCCCCTCACCGGCCTAAAAAGAGAGCGCTAAGCGCAACCAGCAGCAAGACCAACAGCGCGGAGAAGAACAGAGGCATTTAGGTCCGGGTCCGGCCCGGCTTGGCCCCGGCCCCCGCCATGCCGGGCCCCGACGCCGGATCCTCGCAGCGCAGCCGCGGGCCGACCAGCCGCGCGCGCAGGAGCAGCGCTGAGCTGGGAAGCGTTGGTGCGCACGCGAGCCCCGCCTCCCACAGCCCGCCAGCCAGCCAACGGCCTCCCTCCTCAGCCCCACCCCGCCCTGCGACCCGGCAGGGCCGACCGGCTGCATGCGCTAGGAGCGGGTGTGGCCCGGGGAGGAGGGCGCTGGGAGCCGACCGAGAGCTGACATACGGCCGGGCGCTCCCCACGGTGCCCGGAACTGCGGGGCTGGGGGCCCGCGGGGGTCGGAGTCCGGGCCCACTTCCTGGGCTGCGGTGGACTTGGCTGGCTGATTTCGGCCGGGAGAGCTCACTTTCAGGGTCAGGGGAGTTGGGAGTCCGCCTGGCCACTTAGGCCTGTTCTGCGGAAGTTACACCCCGGTCAGACGTGGTAGCACTCGCTATTCAAGATCCTGTTTGAAAATTACTGAGGCGGAAACTAGGAGGTAATTAAAAGTCCTCAAAAATCCCGCCCCATTCCATCCACAGAGGAAACTAATGAGTTGTTTTTGTTTTTTGTTTTTGAGACGAGGACTCGCTATGGTGCGGAGTCTGGTCTCGAACTCTTGCAGGCTCAAGGGATCTTCTCACCTCAGCCTCCTGAGTAGCTGGGACTAAAAACGCGCACCACCGTTCCTGGCCAATGACTTTTTTACTTCATTTACTGTTTGAACACTGTTCTGGTCAATCTACTTATAGTACGAACTGGGCCCTGAAGAGGGGAGATACCGCAGAAGTACTGAATATTGTTCTTGCCCTTTAGCAAAAAATAGTTTATCTGGGACAAAATTATATAAAATAGACAATACATAGTTTTGCCTGCTTCCTTCTCTGTAAAATGAGAGAACAGGACAATGTTCCCTCAGAGTTGCTGTGCTGCTACCAAGGATCAGTATCTGAATGTTACTGATAATACAGCACAAGCTAAGAAAATCCTGAGGGTTTTTTTTCTTTTTTTTTTTTTTTTTTTGTTGAGATGGAGTTTTGCTCTTGTTGCCCATGCAGGAGTGCAGTGTCGCAATCTGGGCTCACTGCAACCTCCGCCTCCCGGGTTCAAACAATTCTCCTGCCTCAGCCTCCCAAGTAGCTGGGATTACAGGCGCACCCCACCACGACTGGCTAACTTTCTTGCATTTTTAGTAGAAGTGGGGTTTCATTATGTTAGCCAGGCTTGTCTCAAACTCCTGACCTCAGGGGATCCACCCACCTCAGCTTCCCAAAGTGCTGGGATTTCAGGCGTCAGCCACTGTGCCTGGCCCTGAGGGTTTCAAAGTAAGTATTATGGTGTAGGTCATGTCTCTTTTCATGCCCCTTCACTCCCACATCCTAATCTCCATAAATATCCTTCAAGATTTTACTCAGTTTCTTTTTGGCTCCCTCAGATAAAACACCATTTCATCTTTCACCTATTTGTGGCCCAAAGTTGCATTTACTTCTCTGACTGGTTTCTTCCCTTATCTAGTCCTCTCGTCAGTGATTTCACATCTCCCCAAGAGCGCCAACACTGTTTCAAGGTCATACTTACCTCTCAAGCACTATATTTGTGTCATCTTTCTTGTAATCTGCAACCTTCCCCCAGGGTACGTCCTCTGAATGCTCAGGAAGGCCTAATTCACTGAAAACCTCTGTCCAAGTCAAGGCAGGGTGCCATGCAACACATATCCCTACTCTGGTTCATGTTATCTAATCTGTTTATTCAGCCAAGACTATCACTTCCTTCCTTCTCCCTAGACTGTTACTAACCCTACTCCCAACCATCTCATAGCTTAACATGTTGATTTTATCATTTTTCTGTTTCTTTCTGGAGAGATCTTAAGGGATCAACACAAGTAGAATAAATACAGGGAGTCGGGGAGCGGGAGGGACGGTAGAGGCAGCAGTGAAGATCAACTAATTCATGGCCTCCATTTATTGAGACCACAAATCCTGTAAAAGAGACCAAGTCTTTTAATGTCATGGGCCATGTTTGGCACAGAACTGGTCTCTAAATGTTCTACATCAACAAAGCAAATAGAAAAAAGAACAAAACCCAGAGGTTTCTAAAACTAAAAAAGGCTGCTAGTCACTGAAATTCCAGCAGATGGCAGCCATCTCTGTTCACCAATACTATGATTGTAAGCTACAGGAGCAAATTTTCTGTAACTGACATAGGAAAAGAGGAAATCACGTAGGCAGAGGACAAAAGTAGTTTTCTATCTTTTTAGAGAAAGGTATGTCTACATTTGTCCAAAAAACAGGATTTGTTTTCCAAAAGCTAAACACAATTGTCGTGTAGTTAAAAAAAACATGAGTCATAAACAGCTGGATTACTATTCCAAAATGATTAGTTTTAAGAATTCAGGCAGTAAGCCAGTTATGGCAGCTTACCCCTGTAATCCCAGCACTTTGGGAGACCACAGCATGAGGATCGCTTGAGCCCAGGAGCTCCAGATCAGCCTCAGTAACCTAGTGAGACCTCATCTCTACAATAAACCAAAAACTGACACAGGAGGATCACTTGAGCCTAGGAGGTCAAGGTTATAATAAGCTGTGATCGCATCCCTCCCACCTGGGTGACAGCAAAGACCTTGTCTCAAAAAAGAAGAAAACAGAATTCAGTTACTCAACTTTTCTGTTGCACTGGTAAAACTGTAGTATTACCCTCTACTAATTCTGTGAAGATCAAATGAGGTAAGATCTATAATATGGTACCTAGTATTTAGCAGTGCATACTGGTTCTTTCTACCCCATCCCTTTTTCTCATTTGCAATAACAGATACAAAGCAAACATTTCACTGGCTGTTTGTTATGCTATATTCTTTGAGAGTTTTTAGCTATAATTAGTCAAAGATCTATTAAAGATGAGATGTCTGGAGAGAAGTCAAAGTAGAGAGAGAAAAGGTTTGGATGCAAGTAGAGTTCTTAAAAGGACCCACACTGAAGGTTCATAGCATCTCCAAAGAGTCTTAGGACTCAAGGATTAAGCAGATAATGAAATAGCACACATAATAAATAACAACATAGTAACTAATAATAAAATTATTGTTTTTATCATTTTGGAGAGAGAAAATAGGGGAAAAATCACATTAACAGTCCGTGATGCCAAGCTCCTGAGGAGTAAAAGTTTCTCAGCTAAGAGGGATGCTCCCTTCAGTTTATCAGTATGAATAAAAAACATCTGCCCCTTTACCAGCAAGTCCTCTACTCAGAAAGAACCGACCCATGCAAGTCTGGGAGAATGAAGTTCACGTGTGCAGGGCTGAAGCTTCCAAACACAGCCACTATTTTCTGTTGTACGTCTTCATCTCAATGGTGACATGGCCACTGACCAAGGAACTTGTGGCAGGAATACCAAGGTGAGGCAGCAACTGACGTCTGTGAACACTGTGTTCAAACAGTGGCTCAGAGCCTCTAGATTTATAGCTCTGCATGGTGGGCTTCTGCCTTCAACAACTCACTGGGCTTCATGAAGATGCCTTCCATGGCTTTCCAGTAGTTGTTCTGACTTGGCTGGGCCATGCCATGCACTTCTTTTTGCCCACTGATAGGTCGACCATATTGTTCTCCTGTGACAGACAGCAGTACCTCAGTGGAAGAGTGTTTGAACCGCACCTCACCATCTCTCACCCAGTAGGGTCCATTACAGAGCACTGTCCAGTCATCCAGATAATCACCTTCACCTTCCTCACCAAAAGCACTCACTTCCTGGAAAACACAGAAGATAGTAACATTAGCATGGCTGACAAGGGCTTGAAAAGGGGTGGGAGGGAATGGGAAGAAAAAGAAGGCCACCTGGAAATAAAAAATCAGAGGTGGCCAGGCATGGTGGCTCAGGCCTGTAATCCTAGCACTTTGGGAGGCTGAGGCAGAGATCCCTTGAGCCCAGGAGTTTGAGACCAGCCTGGGCAACACAGCGAAACCATATCCTGAAAAAACATAAAAGAAATTAGCTGGGTATGGTGGCACATGCCTATCATACCCAGCTACTACAGCTATCACCTGAGTTCGGGAGGTCGAGGCTGCAGTGAGCTGTGATCTTATCAATGTACTCCAGCTTGGATGACATAGTAAAAAAAGACACAAAGGATGTAAGAGAAAAAACATTCATTGCTATAAGATTATGGTCCATGGTTTCTATCTGAGTCATGGCATTAAAAAGAAAGAAAAAGATTATCGTCCAAACACTTATTTTACAATTCATACTATATTTGCCTTATATTTTCTATTACAGTGTTAAAATATTATGACTTTTTTCTTTTGAAGAGTTGGGATCTTGGCCAGGTACAGTGGCTCACACCTGTAATCTCAGCACTTTGGGAGGTCCAGGCGGGCAGATCGCCTAAGGTCAGGAGTTCGAGACCAGCTTGGCCAACATGGTGAAACTCTGTGTCTACTAAAAATACAAAAGTTAGCTGGGCATGGTGGCAGGAGCCTGTAATCCCAGCTACTCAGGAGGCTGAGACGGGGGAATCACTTGAACCAGAAGGTGGAGGTTGCAGTGAGCCAAGATCGCACCATTGCACTCCAGCCTGGGTGACAAAAGTGAAACTTCATCTCAGAAAAAAAAAGAGTTGGGATCTTGCTCTGTTGCCCAGGCTGGAGTGCAGTGCCTCAAGTGATCTTATGGGCTCAGCTCCTGTGTAGCTACAACTACATGTATATACCACCACACCCTGGTAATTAAAAAAAATTTTGTAGGCAACTATGTTGCCTCAGCTGGTCTCAAACTGCTAGTCTTAAATGATTCTCCTCGCTTGGCCTTTCAAGGTGTTGGAATTATAGGTGTGAGTCACCATGCTGGCCTTAAAATACTTTATTTTCTTGAGAGAGCATCTTGCTCTGTTGTCCAGGCTGGAGTGCAGTGGCACAATCTTGGCACACTGCAACCTCCACCTCCCAGGTTCTAGTGATTCTCATGCCTCAGCCTTCAGAGTAGCTGGGATTATAGGCATGTGCTTCCGCACCCAGCTAATTTTTGTATTTTTTTAATAGAGATAGGGTTTCACCATGTTGATCAGGCTGATCTCAAACTCCCAGCCTCAAGTGATCCACCCGCCTCAGCCTCCCAAAGTGCTGGGATTACAGGCGTGAGCCACCACATTTGGCCCTTAAAATACTTTATATCCCTCATTATTTGACTTTAAATATTACTGCTTCGTTCCCTTAAGTAGCTTTTAAATGACCTGATGACAAGTTCAAAAGGGAATGGACTCTGGAGTCAGGCCAACCTTAAATCTCAACTTGATCTGTAAATCCTTTGAGCCTTTGTTTTCTCCTCTATAAAATGATCACAGTATCACCCGACAGAGCAACTGTGAGAATTAAATGAGATAGCAAATATTAACTGAGCAAAAACATAGCAAGTTCTCTATATTGGTTTTTTTTTTTTTTCTTTCTTTCTAAAAAGGCAGTGAAAGAGAAAGTTTTCTATATTCTACTCCTCATCTAAATCCCATTCTCCACAAGGCCAAATATTTGGTTTCTATACAATGGCAACTGAACAATTACTGGTTATTTCAGGGGTATGTGTGTGTGTGTGTGTGTGTGTGTGTGTGTGTGTGTGCACTCTACTTGATAAAGCTGTTTCCCAGGAGGGTACCAGTATGTAATTCTGACACTGCTATGTTTGTATACTGGAACTGAACAAGTTCAATACATGAATGGCAGATCATGGGTAAGGTATCTTACTGTTGGAGTGGGAATTTACAAATTAACACAGGGAGGAGGCTAGGATGATTTATGTGGTAATGGATTATAGCTAAAGACATCAGTAAGAACCCTAGCCAGGCACAGTGGGGCATGCCTGTATTCCCAGCTACTTAGGAGGTTGAGGCAGGCTCTAGTGTACTATGATCACACCTGTGAATAGCCACTGCACTCCAGTCTGGATAACACAGCAAGAGCCCATCTTAGAATAAGGAAAAGAAAAAGAAACCTCATTTAACTTAATATATATATAGTTACAGATGACTACACATATAAATATTTATAGATATGTATATATACATGAGTAAGCATACACAGGTACAGCTCTTTTTTTTTTTTTTTGAGATAGAGTCTTGCTCTGTCACCAGGCTGGAGTGCAGTGACACGATCTCGGCTCATTGCAACCTCTGTCTCCTAGGCTCAAGTGATTCCCATGCCTCAGCCTCCTGAGTAGCTGGAACTACAGGTACACACCACCAAGCCCAGCTAATTTTTTGTATTTTAACAGAGATGGGCTTTCACCATGGCCAGTATGGTCTTGATCTCCTGACCTCATGATCCACCTGCCTCAGCCTCCGAAAGTGCTGGGATTACAGGCATGAGCCACCACCCCTGGCCAGATAACAGTTCTTTATTCTGTCAAGTTAAGAGGGCCTAAAAGAAACATTATAAGGCCGGGCGCGGTGGCTCAAGCCTATAATCCCAGCACTTTGGGAGGCCAAGGCGGGTGGATCACAAGGTCAAGAGATCGAGACCATCCTGGTCAACACGGTGAAACCCCGTCTCTACTAAAAATACAAAACATCAGCTGGGCATGGTGGTGCGTGCCTGTAATCCCAGCTACTCAGGAGGCTGAGGCAGGAGAATTGCCTGAACCCAGGAGTTGGAGGTTGCGGTGAGCTGAGATCGCGCCATTGCACTCCAGCCTGGGTAACAAGAGCGAAACTCCCTCCCAAAAAAAAAAAAAAAAAAAGAAACATTACAGTAGCAGCAAGCTTAGATAAAGCCTAGAACTTGATTTTAATACCACTCTCCAATAAAAGGAAGCATAGTGCCTTGGAGAATTAGCTGATTCTAGTACTGGAGCAAGAAATAAACAAGATGAGCCTGTAGCATCTTTTGGTGCCAGAAAGTTAAGAAGTGCTTTAAAGTGTATGTACGTATACACACACACACAATGGGATACTGTCAAATAGACACAAAGCCAGCTGAAAGAATTCCTAATACTCAAAGTTGGAACAATTTGAGCAAAAAAATGTAGTATTAGATTATAACAAAGTATAAACTATCCATGAGTTTATACTAATGTAAATAACTGAATAAATAAACTGGGGAAAAGAGACAAATCCCCCATATGGAAAAATCCCAAATAAACTATGTAGATATTCCACTCTAAGGTAAAGAGAGCATAACTCTCCAGTCTGTAAGAGTGAAATGCACATAGTAACTTCCAAAAAGTGTATAGAAAGGGGGAAAATGAAAAGAGTAACTTTACAGGAGAAACCCAACCAACAAACACCACTTCAGCCAGGTAATCAAGGTCAACATCAATGGTCATAAATCATAAAGATAGTATACACCCCTGATATGATGGGATAAAAATGGCACTTTACCTCTGTGATCTTCCTCCCAAATCCTTTATAAGACTAGTCTAATCATAAGAAAAACAGACAAATTCCAACTGAGGGGCATTCTACAATATACCTGACTACCACTCCTCAAAGCTGTCAAGGTCATCAAAAACTAGGGAAGTCTGAAAAACTGTCACACCCAAGAACAGCCTAATGAGATATGACAAGTATATGTAATGTACCTTGGAACAGAAAAAGAACATTAGGTAAAAACTAAGGGGCTGGGCACAGTGGCCTCACACCTGTAATCCCAGCACTTTGGGAGGCCAAGGTGGAGGGATCACGAGGTCAGGAGTTCGAGACCAGCATGGCCAATATGATGAAACTCCGTCTCTACTAAAAATGCAAAAATTGGCCGGGCGTGGTGATTCACGCCTGTAATCCCAGCACTTTGGGAGGCCGAGACGGGCGGATCACGAGGTCAGGAGTTAGAGACGGGCCTGGCAAACACAGTGAAACCCTGTCTATACTAAAAAAAATACAAAAAATTAGCCAGGCATGGTGGCGGATGCCTGTAATCCCAGCTACTCAGAGGCTGAGGCAGGAGAATCGCTTGAACCCGGAAGGCAGAGGTTGCAGTGAGCCGAGATTGCAACATTGCACTCCAGCCCTGGCTACAGTGCAAAACTCCGACTTAAATATATACACACACACACACACACACACATCAGCCACGCGTGGTGGCAGATGCCTGTAATCCCAGCTACTTGGGAGGCTGAGGCAGAATAGCTTGAACCCGGGAGGCAGAGGTTGAAGCAAATGGAGATCGTGCCACTGCACTCCAGCCTGGGACAGAGAGAAATTCTCTCTCAAAAAAAAGACACTAAGGGAATCAGAAAAAAACTGTGAACTTTAGTTAATAAAACTGTCTCAGTATTGCTTCATTAAATGTAGCAAATTTACCCTTCTAAGATAAGATGTTAATAGGGAAAACTGTATACAGGCAGTGGGGATAGGGAAGGAGTCATTAAGGGGTCAACATCCCCTGACAACTCAAGGCTTAAAACAGTGGCACAAGGCGGGGCGCAGTGGCTTAGGCCTGTAATCCCAGTACTTTGGGAGGCTGAGGTGGACAGATAGCTTGAGCTCAGGAGTTTGAGACCAGCCTGGGCAACAAGGCAAAATCCTGCATCTACAAAAAAAAAAACACAAAAATTAGCCGGGCGTGGTGACATAAGCCTGCAGTGGGGGCTGAGGTAGGAGAAGTGCTTAAGCCCAGGAAGCCAAGGCTGCAGTAAGCAAGATCACACCACTGTACTACAGCCTGGGTGACAGACCGAGACTCTGTGTTTAAAAAAAATAATGACACAATAGCAAATCCATTTTCCTAGTGTAACTAGTTAGCATCGTTAAAAAAAAAACCTAACTGCAAGTTGGAAAACATTGGGTTTCTTTATTGTAGGATATCAGAACTTATGATATGCTAATGTATACCTAGTCTGACTATCCTTCCCATTTCTCCATTTAGTTTAGTTGTTGTCTCCACTTGGACCAGAAACAATTTTCTTCACATTTATAAAACAGAGCCACCAGGCACAGTGGCTCAAGCTTGTAATCCCAACAGTTTTGGAAGGCCGAGGTGGGTGGATCACCTGAGGTCATGAGTTCGAGACCAGCCTGACCATTATGGTGAAACCCTGTCTCTACTAAAAATACAAAACTTAGCTGGGCGTGGTGGCGCACGCCTGTAGTCCCAGCTACTCAGGAGGCCAAGACAGGAGAATTACTTGAACCCGGGAGGTGAGGTTGCACTGAGCAGAGATCATGCCACTACACTGCAGCCTGGGTGACAAAAAAAAAAAAAAAAAAGCAGAGCCATTTCCCTAGGTCTACACAAAAGAGAATATCTACACCTGGAAAAGAAACAGTTAAGAACCAAGAAATCAAACCACCACCCACTGAGTAATGCAGGGCAGCAATGATCAATTAATACATTAAAAGCCACCTCACCTGGTTTCCAGAAAGAGGTGAAGTAAAGTGGTGACTATGGAGGTTTCGGCCAGTGTTGACATGTGTCAGCCGGATGGGCTGGCCACACTTGATGGGGGTTCCCCTCTCACACACTGTGGCGGTCTTCCCCCGTATCCTCCAGTAACTGTTGCTGTCGTCCACAGAGGTTACACCTGTCACTGACTGCTGCCCACTACCTGCAGTTAAGAAAAGAAAGCCAACTCTCTTTCTCTGCCATGGACAACATACTCAGAAACAGAAGCTCGAGTGTGCTCAAGACTCAGCTTCACCAGTAACCCACCACCATGGCCAAAGAAGACACTGCTGCTGGAGGTGTAATGGATATTAATACTGCTTTACAAGAGGTGCTGAAGACCACCCTCATCCATCAATGGCCTACTAGGTGGAATCTGCAAGGCTGCCAAAGCCTTAGACAAGAGCCAAGCCCATCTTTGTTTGCATCCAACTGTGACATAGTGAAGGACTGTGGCAAAGAATTTCAGGCCAAAGATGTCACTGTGTACTTCAAATGCAAGAAATTAACAAATAAAAAATTTGGCACCCATTCCTCAAAAAAAAAAAAGGCAAGTGAGCTCAACCTCACCTTTCTTGCCTATGGCCAATATTGTACGCTGTGTCATAAAACAGGTAAGAAGGGGTGAGGAGTAAATGCCATGCTTGGCAATATTTTTTCTTCTACAACATTAAAATATTTATTTAAAAATATGAAATGTGTCCACATAATACTAGTTATTATATGATAAAGTATACTTAAGAGTATGTCATATGAGAAAATTCTGGCCTGGCGCGGTGGCTTATGCCTATAATCTCAGCACTTTGGGAGGCCAAGCTGGGCAGATCACAAGGTCAAGAAATCGAGACAATCCTGGCCAACATGGTGAAATCGCATCTCTACTAAAAATACAAAAATTAGCTGGGTGTGGTGGCACACACCTGTAGCCCCAACTACTCAGGAGGCTGAGGCAGGAGAATTACTTGAACCCAGGAGGCAGAGGTTGCAGTGAGCCAAGATCACGCCACTGCACTCCAGTCTGGCAACAGAGAAAGACTCCATCTCCAAAAAAAAAAAAAGAAAATTCTAACAATTTGCATCAAAGGATATCAAAGGCACAAATGGCATGTGAGTTTTTGAGGCACAGGCAGTGCTAACCTGTACACACTAGCCTGGATAGCCCCTAATGTGTCCTATCATATAATTTTCACGTTTGTAATATTATTCATGTTCATTAACTATTACAATAAATTTTTTTTTTTTTTTTTTTTTTTTTTGAGACGGAGTTTCACTCATGTTACCCAGGCTGGAGTGCAATGGCGCGATCTCGGCTCACCGCAGCCTCCACCTCCTGGGTTCAGGCAATTCTCCTGCCTCAGCCTCCTGAGTAGCTGGGATTACAGGCACGCGCCACCATGCCCAGCTAATTTTTTGTATTTTTAGTAGAGACGGGGTTTCACCGTGTTGACCAGGATGGTCTCGATCTCTTGACATTGTGATCCACCCGCCTCGGCCTCCCAAAGTGCTGGGATTACAGGCTTGAGCCACCGCGCCCGGCTACAATAAAATTTTTATTCACAAATAAAATGAGACTATTTTACGTTGCCAACTTTAATTCAAGCAGCCATTACGGCTCCCAACTCCCATGAGTGGTCAATTATTATAAAAGTATTCTTGTAGGTCTGGCACAGTGGCTCATGCCAATAATCCAAGCACTTGGGGAGGGGAAGGTAGGAGGATCCCTTGAGTCCAGGAGTTGGAGACCGGCCTCAGGAACATAGCAAGATCCGGTCTGTGTGTGTGTGTGTTTTGAGACAGATTCTCACCTAGCTAAATTTTTTTTGTATTTTTAGTAGAGATGGGGTTTCACCATGTTGGCCAGGCTGGTATTGAACTCTTGACCTCATGATCCATCTGCCTCGGCCTCCCAAAGTGCTTGGATTACAGGCAGGAGCCACTGCGCCCAGCCTATATACATACATTTTTTTTAAATTTTATTTTATACATAAAATTTTTGAGACAGTATCCCTCTGTCACCTAGGTTGGAGTGCAGTGGCACAATCACAGCTCACCACAGCCTTGACCTCCCAGGCTCAGGTGATCCTCCTACCCTAGCCTCCCAAGTAGCTGGGATTTTAGATGCCTGCCACCACACCCAGCTAATTTTTGTATTTTTTGTAGAGATGGAGTTTTGCCATGTTGCCTAGGCTGGTCTCAAACTCCTGGGCTCAATCGATCTGCCCAACTCAAAGTGCTAGAATGACAGGTGTGAGCCATTATACCAGGCCTAAAAAAAAAATAATATTGCTGGGTGTGGTGGCTCATGCCTGTAATCCAAGCACTTTGGAGGCCGAGGCGGGTGGATCGCCTGAGGTCGGGAGTTCAAGACCAGCCTGACCAACATGGTGAAACCCCGTCTTTAATTTAAAAAAAAAAAATAGAGGCTGGGCACAATGGCCACCGTCATAATCCCAGCACTTTGGGAGGCTGAGGTGTGATGATTGCTTGAGCGCGGGAGGTCAAGACTGCAATGAGTCGTGATTTTGTCACTGCACTTTGGCCTGGGTAACAGAGTGAGAAAAAAAGTGTAGCTACAGGCTTTAAAAAAGGGGGGATGGGAGATATATAAATAATCACTGATAGCTAATGGGTATTACTAAAACTGCTCAGCACCACAGTGTGTGAGCACTTACATTTACTGGGTATCTGGCACTGACCTAAGTCCTTTGCTTGAATATTCTTATTTAACACCTACATCTATTTGCTGAGATAGGTATCATTTTTCCAGCGTACCCAAGGTCACACAACTCTAAGAAACAAGGCAGCTGGGTGCAGTGGCTCACACCTGTAATCCCAGCACTTTGGGAGGCCAAGGTGGGAAGATCATGAGGTCAAGAGATCCAGACCATCCTGGCCAACATGGTGAAACCCCCATCTCTACTAAAAATACAAAAGTTAGATGGGTGTCATGGCACACTGTAGTCCCAGCTACTCAAGAGGCTGAGGCAGGAGAATGCCTTGAAGCCAGGAGATGGAGGCTGTAGTGAGCCAAGGCAGTGCCACTGTGTTCCACTGGTATAAGAGCAAGACTCTGTCTCAAAAAAAAAAAAAAAAAAAAAGAAACAAGGCTGGGGTTGAACGAACATAGGCAGTCCAACAACTCTAAAACTAGCAGTCTTAACCATTCTGCATCACATCCCACTAAAGTCATCTTTCTTCCAACAGCTTTAATTTGTCAGGTTTCCCCAAATGGGCTACTCTCATAAACTCCAGGGATACTCTTTCCTAGGCTTCATTCACTACCCAGGTCTTTGCAAGTATCGGTATTTCCCAGATACTTTTCAATAGTTTTACCTATTCCTTCTAGATTTGCCTTCAGTTCCATGGCCTTGCCTGACCACAGCCTTTTGATATTTCCCTTTTACCATGTATACCATTATACCTTGTGCCAGTTATATGGGTAAATGTAGCCAATTATCAGCTCCTTTCTACTGTCTTCTTCCACTCGGCTCTTGACTTTATATATTCTTCCAGAAAAGAAAAGGTAAACCAACTCTCCCTTCCTACTTCTGGTTACTGCCTTACAGCTCTCTGGGTCCTCACAGCCACACTTCACTAAACTGTGGTCTACATTTTGTCTCTTACGTTTTCTGCTTTCTATTCAACCCTTCACTTCCTTCTCCAAATCCTTATACCTTGGACTACTGAAAGTTCTATGCCTGGCTTTCATCTGTTTCTACCTCTTAAACAATTATTGAGGATCAGGACAAAAGCATTTGTTTGTGTTTTTTTTGAGACAGAATCTTGCTCTGTCACCCAAGCTGGAGTGCAGTGGCACGATCTCAGCTCACTGCAACCTCCGCCTCCCAGGTTCTTGCAATTCTCCTGCCTCAGCCTCCCAAGTAGCTGGGACTACAGGCGCTCGCCACCACGCCCAGCTAATTTTTTGTATTTTAGTAGAGACAGGGTTTGAATGTGTTGCCCAGGCTGGTCTCCAACTCCTGAGCTCAGGCAATCTGCCCGCCTTGGCCCCCCAAAGAGCTGGGATTACAGGCGTGAGCCACCACACCCAGCCAGCATCTGTATTTTTAACAAGTTTCTCAAGTTATTCAAATTGATGCCAGATTGAGAACCACAGTTCATCCTGGGCAATTTCATGTAGTACCCTGACATCTTCAACCACAGTCTATACAAGATGTTGTATTTAATGTTGTATCTCAGGCTCAGCACAGATCCCTTTTCTGAGCTCCAGACTGAACCTGGTTCTCAAATCTGGCTGCCCAACAGAACCACCTGGCCGGGCGCGGTGGCTCATACCTGTAATCCCAGCACTTTGGGAGGTCAAGGCAGGCAGATCACGAGGTCAAGAGATCGAGACCATCCTGATCAACATGGTGAAACCCTGTCTCACTAAAAATACAAAAAAAAAAAAAAAAAAAAAAAAAAATTAGCTGGGTGTGGCGGCACATGCCGGTAATCCCAGCTACTTGGGAGGCTGAGGCAAGAGAATCGCTTGAACCTGGGATGGGGACGTTGCAGTGAGCCGAGATCACACCACTGTACTCCAGCCTGGTGAGAGAGTGAGACTCCGTCTCAAAAAAAAAAAAACCATCTGAAGAGCTTTTTAAACCTACAGATCCCTACTGCCAAGCCTCTCTCCACCGCCACTCTAATTCAGTAGATCCAAAGTAGGAAACTGAAACAAATTTTAAAATAAGCCTAACAACATGGTAGTCTTCACTGAATGAGTGCTAGGATTATTAAGACATCCCAGTGATGACAACTCAGGTCCTTGCCTAGTCTAACTTATCAGATAAGTTTTGGGAATCATGAACCACAGACTAGCACGCCTGAGAGAACTCTCCTCCCTCAGCAAACAGCATCATTGGTCATCCAAGACAGAAATCTACTAATTATTCTTAGATGCCTCTCACATCTCACTAGTTGACCTTCATTCTTTATTTTGTTATTTTTTTTAAGTTTATCTTCTTTTTCAGACAGGTAAGACTTTTTTTTGGTCTGTTTTTATTGTCTTGTAATTTGCTTGAATGACTATCACTACTGAGTGTCCTGTATGTAGTACAATTCTAGCCATATAGTAGGAACTCATTAAGACCTATGCTTGATGAATGAATCCACATAAAATTTATTCCTAAACATTTTAATTTCAAATGCTAAAAATAACTGGTTTTCACTGGGCGCAGTGACTCACACTGGTAATCCCAGCACTTTGGGAGGCCGAGGCGGGTGGATCACCTGAGGTCAGGAGTTCGAGACCAGCCTCGCCAACATGGCGAAACCCTGTCTCTACTAAAAACACAAAAATTAGCCAGGCGTGGTGGCACGTGCCTGTAGTCCCAGCTACTCGAGAGGCTGAGGCAGGAGAATCACGTGAACCCGGGAGGCAGAGGTTGCAGTGAGCTGAGATCAGGCCACTGCACTCCAGCCCAGGTGACAGAGTCTCTTTTTTTGAGACTCCTTCTCAAAAAAAAAAAGCATTTTTCTCTGCAATTCTTGTCACTGCTCCAAGTTCATTACAAGAAGGAGGTTAAGATTTGGGTATAAGGGGACCAAAAGATACAAATTGAAAAGCAAGTGTAAGATGCAAAAGAGCTGGAAGACAAAGGGTTGTAGTCAAAGAGTGAGCTCTTGGAGTTTTAAAGTTTCAGATACAGTACTTTCCGTAAATTTAAAATTTCAGACACAGCACTTACTGTAATTTTCTTGTTTGTCTCTAAAGCAGGCTTTGAACCTGGATAGATTTGGATAGAACCCCGACTTTGTCATTTGTGATCTGCAAGGCTTTGAATAAATGATTTAATTTCTTTGCGTCTGTTTCCTCAACTGTGAAATGAGGAAAACAATTGTATCACCTTACAGGAAAGTTAATAATCGGAAAAAGAACACAGGTAACGTGCCTGGCCGGTAGCTTAGCAAATATTAAGTGGTGTTGCGATTAAGATGCTTTAGAACAACTCAGTTCTCCGACTCTCTAGACCTGAGGAACCTTCCCAGGGAACCCCTGACCTTCCCAGACCACACCCTCAAATTTTCTGTAGGCCCCGCCCCTCCAGAGTCTCCCAGGCCTCTCCAGCCCACCCAAGACTGGTCCCCAGCATTACCTGACCCATAGCGCACATCGTGGGAGTGCAGTCGGACGTTGTGGCGCGTATTGAGTAGCTTCACCACGGAGCCGCAAGTAACGACAGCCAGACTGGACGCTCCCACAGCGCTCCACAAACCCCCCAACAACAGTAGCGGTACCACAGCCATCCTAGCTGTATTGCGGAGCCCCAAATCTTCGAAGAAAACTCGGCCCCTCCCCGGAACCGGAAGCTGAAGGCGAAACCACGAAGAGAAGGAAGTGAAGAAGCCCGAGTCTGATCTTTATGGTTTATTTTGCTAGAGCGGCCGGAGAAACCGGCTGGGCCTGGTTCCTTAAGAAACTCTCGCTCTGTCCCGGGTGCCCTGTGACAGCTGCCATCCTAAGCCGCTTCGGCTAGCTTTCGCGCCCCCATAACGAAACCCCCCCAAGAGCTGCAGAGAGAACAAGAAATGCCCCGCCCACTCCCAGTGACAGGGAGGCGGAAATGACGTAGCACGTTGACGCAGCAGCGGCAGCGGTGGCGGCGGAGGGGCCGTGCGGTGGCTCCGTACTATCCTTTCCCAGTCTCGGTTCGACGACTCCATTTTCCTCGGTGGGGGCTTAGCGCACCGGAGGAGCGGCCGGCTTCAGGCAGGTAAAGTTCCGACTAGAGAGCGTGTTTCTCGCATTGGTCAGGTGGGGAACCAGGCTTCTAGGGCCTGGTCCCGTAAGGGAAGAGGCTGTGGGGAGCTGTATGCGGGAAGAAGGGGGGGCCTGGCCTTCCTTGCTCTATGGGGGGAAGGGGAGGAAAGCGGTTGCTCAGAGTCTCAAAGCTTTTCCCAGCCCGGTAACACCTGGAACCCGTGAATTGGGTGGCATGTTGAATCAACAGGCTTCCTGGCATCCCGTCCTTCCCTCCGCAGCTTTTTAAAACTGGGCCTCGGGAAAGCACTGGGGATGGAAGGGACTGGGGCTTCTGAGCAGGGATCAGGTGATCGAGTTGTTTGTTCTGGGGATATGAATACTATGGAGCTTTCAGCAGTTCGGCCATCAGGCTAGAGGTCGATGCCAAATTCCAGCTCTTTACATATTGCTGAATAATATAAATGGAACTTTTTGTAGATGGTTGCATCCTTCATTCCTTTCTAAAGGGCGAAGGTCTTGTAGAAGTACCTGAAGCCCATTCATTCTCCGTACATTCGTCTCCTCAAACGTTTGCCAGACGCCTATCATGAACATCAAAATGACTTATTAGGTCAAAATTGTATTGTCTAGTTTCAGCCTTTCTCCTCAGGCACTCCTTTGAACCAGCTGGAGAAATTCATTTCCTTGGGTTGTTACACGAACTGATGCTTATTTCAGAGACCTAAGCTCTCTAAAAATACTTCCACGGAAATTCAATGTAATATCAGAAGTAACAAGGGTGTGTGAAGCTACATCATTAATGAACATTAGGGAGTGTAAACGATATTGAATTAGATTAATTCGAAAAAATGTCTGGTTCCACTGTTTGTCTGATGATGCTTATTTTGTAAGTCTCCTGTGTTTTGATTACAAAAGCATGACTACTCTTCCATCAGCTGTGAATTTAGGGCCCTTTTCCATGAGTAGTGTCCCTTTCACCAGTACAAGTCCATTATTATTCACTTGGCTTGTGTGGCTGCTAGATTGGATTAGCATAGCCTGAGACTCTAAGAGGTTTTAACTTCATCAAGAGATTAATTACATCAGAAAGTGGTGCAGTCTGGAGAGGCTTAGTCAAATTTTACAGTTCTCCTTCTGAAAGCCTCTCTAGTGTGGTGGAAACATAATGATCTTTGTAGGCAAATACTTTGCCTTTGCTTCTATAGTCTTGATCTTAATAAATGGCACTACTATCAATCTTGCCTATAATCCTTGGCTTCCTTCCTTTCCACTATTTCCCAATGCAATCAGTCACCAAATCCTGTCTCTCCATAAAACTGGTTCCTATCAGCATACAAATTATGGTCTGGTATCCCTCACATTCCTCTCCAACTAATGTGCTAATTTTTAAAATTTCCATTCATAGATTTCTACCTTTACAAAGCGACTCAGCTTTCTTACTGTTCATTTTACACCAATCTGGTTTCTCTTCTGCCCACTCCATTTTTTTTTTTTTTTTTTGAGACGGAGTTTCGCTCTCATTACCCAGGCTGGAGTGCAATGGTGCAATCTCGGCTCACCGCAGCCTCCACCTCCTGGGTTCAGGCAATTCTCCTGCCTCAGCCTCCTGAGTAGCTGGGATTACAGGCACGCGCCACCATGCCCAGCTAATTTTTGTATTTTTTTTTTTAGTAGAGACGGGGTTTCACCATGTTGACCAGGATGGTCTCGCAGAGTCTTGCTCTGTTGCCCAGGTTAGAGCTCAGTGGCTCTGTCATAGCTCACTGCCACCTGGAACTCCTGAGCTCAAGCAGTCCTCCTGAGGCAGCTTTTAGTAGGCAAGTGCCACCACAGCAACTTTGCCCACTCCACTGAAGTTGCCCTGATCAAGGTCACCAGTGACTTCTGTGTTGCCAAATCCAATGGATACTTTGTTCTCATCTTCCTTTGTCTCTGCAATGTTCAACATAGTTACTCCTGCCTCCAAACTCTCATCTTGGCTTTATTGACATTTCACTCTTGGTTTTTCTCCATTTCTCTGGCTGTTCATTCTGAGTCTCATTTGCTAGCCACTTTTGCTCCCTATCTAATGTCTAAATATTGGGGCTGGGCACAGTGGCTCACGCCTGTAATCCCAACACTTTGGGAGGTCGAAGTGGGTGGATCACTTGAGGTCAGGAATTCAAGAGCAGCCTGGCCAAGATGGTAAAACCCCATCTCTACTAAAAATACAAAAACTAGCTGGGAGTAATGGCATGCCTGTAATCCCAGCTACTTGGGAGGCTGAGACAGGAGAATCTCTTGAATCCAGGAGGCAGAGGTTGCAGTAAGGAGAGATTATGCCACTGCACTCCAGCATAGGCAACAGAGCAAGACTCCATCTCAAATATATACATATATATACATATATATATTTATATATGTTGGAATTCTCACAGGATTTAATCCTGAGCCCTCTGCATGTTTTTCCTTTAGGTGGCCCAGTCCCATGGCTTTAATTACCACCTGAAAGTTGGCAACTCTAAAGTTTAAATCTCTAGTCCAGCCCTCTCCTCTGTGTTCCAGAATCACACATTAAAAATGCCTGTTTAATTATCTCCCTTTGGATATTTCTTAGGTACCCCAAAGCTAACATAACCAAAAGAAAGTTTTGGTTTTCTCATCATTCTAAGTGTTATCCTCCTCATTTCACTGAGTGGTACTCCTATCCACAGGGTTACCAAACACAGACCTCTGATAATCATTTTTGTTCTTCTTCTTTACTACTCCTCTTCTCCAGTCTTTCAATAAGTTCTGTCCCTTCCACTTCCAGAATGTATTTATAAATCTGTCTTCTCTTCTCTGTCTTCACTGCTACTACCCTATTCCAAGCCACCACCAGCTTTTGCCTGGGCAACCATGACGGTATCCTCAGGTTTCCCTGCTTTTCACTCACATCTTCCTCCAGTTCATTTTTCCATGAAACAAGATCGGATCAGGGCAGATCATGTCATTTCCCTACTTAAAACTCTCCAGTGACTTTCTGTGGCCTTCACACCCTGCTTGAGCAGGCCTCTCCCTCATAGTCTGCTGCCTTCACCATGCTCTGGTGCCATCAGCCTTATGACATCACCTATCATATACCATGTTCTTGACACTTTCTCTACTGGAACCTCTCCTCCTTGTTCTACAGGTCACATCCTACCTATGGACATCTCAGCCTAAATAAACTCACTTTACTTAGAGATGAGAATGTGTATTTCCTTCTTAGCTCTTAGAACAAGGTTTATTTTATTTGTTGGTAGTGTATCTCCTACACCAGAATACAGGCATCCTAGGAGCAAGTCTTGTACCTGCCTGGCATGTGGGAGGCACTCATTAAATACATATTAGTGCCAGGCATGGTGGCTCACACCTTTAATCTCAGCACTTTGGGAGGCTGAGGCAGGTGGATCACCTGAGGTCAGGAGTTTGACACCAGCCTGACCAACATGGTGAAACGCCATCTCTACTAAGAATACAAAATTAGCCAAGAGAGGTGACACATGCCTGTAATCCTCGCTACTGTAATCCTGGTGATCCACCTGCCTCAGCCTCCCAAAGTGCTAGGATTACAGGCGTGAGCCACCTCGCCCAGTGAACTCTACCTTTTAAAAAAAAAAAGGCTGGGTGCAGTGGCTCACACCTGTAATCCCAGCACACTGGGAGATCAAGCAGGCGGATTACCAGATCAGGAGATCAAGACCATCCTGGCCGCCGGGTGTGGTGGCTCACACCCGTAATCCCAGCACTTTGGGAGGCTGAGGCAGGTGGATCAACTGGGGTCAGGAGTTCGATACCAGCCTGGCCAACATGGTGAAACCTGTCTCTACAGAAAATACAAAAATTACCCCAGCTCAGTGGCATGCACCTATAATCCCAGCTACTCAGGGGGCTAAGGCAGGAGAATTGCTGGAACCCTGGAGGCAGAGGCTGCAGGGAGCCGAGGTTAGGCCACTAAACTCCACTGTACTCTACTGTACTATATCAAAAAATAATTTTTTTAAAAAGCCATCCTGGCCAACAAACAGTGGCCGGGCATGGTGGCATATGCCTGTAATCCCAGCACTTTGGGGAGGCTGAGGTGGGTGGATCACCTGAGGACAGGAGTTAGAGACTAGGCTGGCCAATTTGGTGAAACCTCATCTCTGCTAAAAATACAAAAAAGAAAAAAAATGAGCTGGATGTGGTGGTGGGCGCCTGTAATCCCAGCTACTTGGGAGGCTGAGGTTGGAGAATTGCTTGAACCCAGGAGGCAGAGGTTGCAGTGATTCAAGATTACACCACTGCACTCCAGCCTGGATGACGGAGCAAGACTCTGTCTAAAAAAAAAAAAAAAAAAAAAAGTATTTGTCCTAGCTGCTCAGGAGGCTGAGGTGGGATTATGGTTTGAGCCTTAGCCTGGGTGACAGAGCAGGACCCCATCTCAGAAAATAAATAAGTTTTTGTTGGATTAGCAAGTAAATTAAGTCAATTCTGTGTTTCTGCAATGGCTTCACTAACACTAGATCCTTATAACTTCTCCTCTAACTCTTATGAACCATTCTTCCTCTCCTGGGTCTTTGTACCTGCCACAGTGCACATATTGTCCTCGAAGCACACATCTCCAGCATCACTCCCCACACGATCTCCAAAGAAGCCAGCTCCTCCGCTGAACTAATTCCTCCTTACTCTTAAGGTCTTTGTTTAAAGTCACTTCCTCAAAACCAGGGTAGGTTGTCGTATTACAGGATCCCATGCTATCCTTGTCATCAATTTTCTAAGACCTGTACTTCTAAATCATGGGTCACCAAACTAAGACCTGTGAGCCAAATAAGGTCGCCCCCATTCATTTATACAT